GGGGGGTGAGTGAGAGAGTTCACGAGTCGGTGGGGGTAACCTTAGACAAGAGGCGTGGTCTGTACGTCGTTCTCACCCCACGGCTCTCCACCGAGAAGCAACCCTTATCGCCGACGTATACTGGAAGCCCACCATGGACGTCGGTCACGACGATTGTAGGCGAAACTATATACGTACGTGTAGGTGGCGGGACGTGGAAAGACGCCGCTCTCCTGCACAGCAGCATCCGGATTTTCATCTTCTTAACACTCTCCCTCACACTACTCTCCGTCCTCTCACCCTCCTCGTCCCATTCTCGTCCGTCCGTCCGCTCCCCCCCGGACGCCGTATGTGGACGCACTTCTTTCTTCGCATCGCGACCATCCCTGCAGGTCGAAACTCCGAACCGAGTCCGTTGCACTCTTCTCTCCTCTCGGCCGTCATTCGTCTCGTTCCTCTCCTCCTCGAAACAACACGGGACAAAAATCGCACGACGATGACGAGGCGTTTGCGGAGATAAGGATGATGATGATGATGATGATGATGATGATGATGACGACGATGATGTGGCAACGCAGACGCGAATCGCGGACGAACGGTATGTCCGCAACGAACGGGAGCCGCGCAAGCAGAGCTTTTTTATCGGGCAACGGGTAGACGAACCCCGAAGAGTGAAACGAAACTCGTAGCGGCCGTGCTTTTTTACGGCGCATGCGGCTGTTCCGCGGGAAAAGCGGCGGTGGTGGGGCGGAAAGAGAATCGAACTCACCACCCGGCTCTCGCTCTTCTTCCCTCTCGTTCTCCCGCATGTTCGGCGTTTATTTTTCGGTGAAAGTGAGCGAAATACGTGATCGATTCGTTAGCTATATCAAGGAATATGTGTTCAAACAAAAAATATACAGAAGCGGTTTTCAGCAAAAACTGATTAACAATCCGCTTGGAAAAATTGATAGCTACACAATATCGTAAATTACGAAACGTTGGCAAAAAAAAAATCCAATTGTCTAAACAATATCGGTATTAGTAATATGTGTATAGTAACTTGTATGTATATCTCTCGATCTATTCAATATACATATTTGTATATTTTCTGACGTTGTTTTAATGATATTTATAGAGTCTTTACATCTATAAAATGTTACCATATTTTTAATTTTCTCCATGTAAAATCATTTTTAAAAATATTTTAAAAATATTTGATGCTTGATTTGATGCTTATACAGTCTCGAAATTTGCGAATCAAAATATTATACCAAGAAAATCTTCGAAAAATTAAGTGAAAAAGTTATTTATAAATTTTTATTTTAAACAGTAGTAAATTTTAAACAGTTTTTGAGGTATAAGAGTTTAAATTTAGCCAATTATAGATTAAACAGAAACATGTCCGTGAGTGCGTCGATAGTGTTAGTGGTCGCGCACTTCACGCGAGTACTAATCTATAATTGGCCAGATTTAAATTCTGATATCTCAAAAAGTACTGTTTAAAATAAAAATTTACATATAACTTATTTATTTATTATTTTTCAAAGATTTTCTTGCTACGATTTTTAATTCGCGAATTTCAGGACACCCCCTGTATATACATATATCATTTTGCACTTTTAATCTATCGATCCTGATTGTTATATATTATCACATGGGGAAAACGTGGCGTTCTTTCACTATCTTTTACGATTGACAGTCGACTTCCACGCGGTTTCCTGATCCCCTTGCGTGGCTTCACGCAACACATAGGTACCCACCCAGCTGATCGTAACGGTGGAGGTTTACCGTGCAAATGTGGCAGCACGAAACGTTCATACATTTCGGTTACATTACCGTAGACATCATCGGATGTGTTGACGGGAAATACGAGCATAACTCAGCCGACGCTACCTGCCAGGATTTCGCGAAAATCCCCCTTTGCTCTCCTCTCTCTCTCTCTCTCTCTCTGTCTAGCTTTCTCTTGTCTCGCACAGCTTCCATCGTCTCGTCCTCTCGCTACACACTTCTCTCTTCTCTCTCTGTCTGTCTCTATCTCTCTCTAACGTTACACTGAGTGATGACGTCATTTCCTACCGAGTATTATACATCTCGCAGCGTATTTCCGGCGGCCGATTAAGATTCGCCCGACATTCGGCGGGAGAATGAGATTTTCCGAGACGCGATCGCATTGCGAACAGAGAAGTAAAACTATTAAACGAGACTTAAGCAATATGAAGTGTTATCAATTTTCAGGAGATGAAATAGGAATCATACAAAAATATCGTCCCTACATCAGACCATATCTAATTCTTGCAGGAATATCACTTTTATTTCAACTACACCACGATTGTGACAAATTTTTGGAAGAAGAAAAATGTACAAATTAGGAAAAACATACAAATCCTACTATCTAAATTTTTAATGAAAGTGCATGATATGTATCTTCTCGTGAAAGTTTTTCCTTTGATGCATAGTTCTCGCGAATGTAAGGAATAATTTTCGTAAATTGTTACAGAAATGCAATATACAGATAAATTTCGACAAAGGCAATGACAGTAGTATATCTGAATGAGAAATAAACAGACTTGATTTATGCGATTAAACATTTTTCGCGTATTAACGTAATATATTTCCGTAAAGGACACCTGGGTGTGAATTTGCACCAAAGCAAAATGTGTGTTTCTCAATGTAAAATTTTCTGACCAATCGATTAGTAATATTAATTTTTCAAAAAAAGAACGTAATTGTTTTCAAAACTTTGTGTTAAACAAAACCATTCAAAAGAGACGTACACTGTTAGAAATTTCTATAGGAATTTTCGGATACGTATGACTAAAGCTTTATGCTGCAGTTACCGTTTCTGAAATTTATTAAACGGGAATAAAAATTTTGGAAGCAGTAACTGCATAAAACTTTAGTCACAGTTTCTGAAAATTCCGTTATAGTTTCGTAATTTGCAGTAACTGTAACTGAAAATTTAAAAAAAATTATAAAATTTTTTATCAATTTATTAATTTTAACATATATGCACATTATAATTACCTTGACTCATAAACAGTAAGATAATGTGAGCGAGGTATATGCAAACAACTGTATATATACGTGTTATATGATATGCTCAATATATCAAATGTATAATCAAAAAGTATTTTATAATTATAGTTATAAAGAGTTATATTTGAGTACACACTTTTTGACTATACATTTGATATATTGAGTATTATTATATACACACGTATGTACGCAATTGTTTGCATAAACATACTTCGCACATTATCTTATTATTTACATGCCAAGGTAATTATAAACCATACATTTATGTTAAAATTAATAAACTAATAAAAAATTTTTTTTATCTCTTTTAATGCATTGAGAATACTGCATATAATCTATACGCACTTAGTTATTTGTGTAAACATACTTTGCTCATATTATTTTATTATTTATATCAAAAAGATAAATAATATAAGCAGTATTATTTATTAAAATCATCATTATTCTTTCTATCATTACTATCTTTTCTATCATCACTATTCTTTGCTTTCACCTTTCTCCGTCCGTGAGCTTGATGCGGAAGAACGTCGTTTCCACAAGCCGCCGAGTAGTGCACTGGACGAAAGCTGCGCAGAGTACATCGAGCAACTTTTTCCAGTTACGATATCTTAAATTGCCGTTACCATTTAGTCATTTTAAGAAACCGTTTTATAATTTTGCGGTACAGTATCGGAATTTCTGTTACCATTTATTAATTTAAAAAAACCGTTTATAATTCTACGATACAGTATCAGAATTTTATGAGAAATTTAGTAAATTTGCTTTGAATGTTACTAAATTTTTGTTTTCAGCAACCTAATTTCGTAAAATTCAGTTACTTCAGTACCTTAAATCTCACGGAATTTTCCGAACATTTTTAACAGTGTATAGCCTTTGCGGGTTAAAAAGTAATACAACGTAGGCAAAAAGGTTCAGACTATAGGTCATCCAGCCTCGTCATTGGTTTCACGTCTACTTCTCCCTTTCTCTTTCTCTCTCTCTCTCTCTCTCTCTCTCTTCTTCCCTTTTCCGCCATAGGTCAGGAACTTATCAGCGTGTAATTAACGACGAAGCAAAGTCGTGTCGTTGCCGGGCAAAAAGATACTCGCGCGAATACAATCCCGTAAATTTCCGAGCTGGCGGCGGCCCTGCCCCCTGTCCAATGGCAAGCAAGAAAACCCGTTGTTCGGTGTTTTGCACACGGTGCCGCGACGCGACGTGTTCCCCCGGAATCAATTGTTGTTTCGGGGTTTGTTTGCGGCCGAACTACGCCGCGGCCGCGGCAATGAGACAAGCCGGAAATATTACCGTTGCACACCGCGAGAAATTATGCGATCAACGTGGCTGTAACGCACGGATCGAGCACGGATTCGAGCCCGGATAGCAGCGAGTTTTACTCAATAACCTCCCTCTCCCCTCCCCCCTTCCGATTGATATCGATCACTCGCGGCCGCAATCATTACGCGCGATTACTAACTTAATTTGCGTTTGTGAAAACGTTGAAAATCCGCCTGCCAGGATTTCGCGACCCATGCGGTTTAACGAAATTAACGACGTGCAACTCATGTTGTACACCATACGAAGAATGCGCTATATATACACCTGTATTGTTCTGCATTACATCTGTGCGAGAAATCAGATTTACATTAATCTGACATAGTTTCAGGGAAATTATTGTAATTCGAGTAAAATGCGTCAATAAAAAATCATTTATATCATTGTTTTTTAACAATCTATCCATTCATTATAGGCTTAATTCGAAACTAAAATAAAAGAATAATTTTAAATTTATCTGTTTAAAATATTGATCCAATAAAATTTGATCCAATAAAAGTGTTTGAGATTCTCTTATGCGGTCAGAATTGAAATCCCACGGGGTATCTTCTGAACGGCAAAGCCTCTGGACCGCAAGATCCGGATTTCGAAGCAGGATAACTACTCCCGTCAGGAGGGAAATGTTTTAGAGAAGTCAAAGGTCGTGGGACAAATTCTTCTTTAGGAACCGGTTCAAGACGGACTCGAGAAAATGTCCAAGCAATCACTTGCTACGTTTTATAATTTATTGATTTACAATAAAAAGTTATTGCACATTTTTTTTACAATTTATCCATTTATTCTAGGCTTAATTCGAATATTAAAATAAAAGTATAATTTTAGATTTGTCTATGATGTTTAAAATACCATTTGATCTAATAAAAGTGACTGATGTTCTTTACTATAGATTTATTAAAAAATACGTATGTGTAATAACGTTTAAATATTGCTTTAACGATCAGAAAAATGCAGAATTATTTTTTTGGATGCTATTAGTTTACGTATATTTTACACAATCATCATTTATTTTATACATACTCGAATAAATAATAAATTAATAGTATTTTATAATGGAATTTGCATCAATTGTTGGAATAGAAATATGAATATCGGAAAGTTATGTTATAAATAAAATTTATTTCGAAAGTAATAGAGTAACGTTTCCACCACGAGAAGATATCGTTAAGAAACGATTAATTGTCATCGCGTCGGAAAATATTAAAAATTCTCGCGCGAAATGGTATCAAATTATAGCACAACGGCCGGATGTACTCGTTAATCGTGTTTTCACCCCTTCACACATCATCCTTCCTATCCAGTCAGCGACGACGGTAACGTACGAGTCTCGGTAGAATCCAATTAATGCCGACATCTCTCCGCGTGTCTTTCACAATTTTGAATTTTAAGTGACATAATATGCCGACTGACGCGGGCTTGTCAGCCTCTCAAACTACCTATCGCGCCTTTCTTCGAGCGAAATCGGATATCGCGTTTAAAA